TTCAGGACGTTGAATGGAGGAAAATGTCTAAAAAGGCGAAGTTCTAATGGACAGATTAGCAGCTGATTTAGGGAAGGCTATTTCGCCCACCAGGAAATTAATTTGACTGCCGTCTGAAGGGGTTAATCATCATTTGGTTTTAATTTTTGCCGAAATATTTGTCAAATATGGTCTATTTTTTGTTAAGTCTAATTTGCTTTAGAAAATGAGCGGAGTTGATGAAAGATTTCACATCATCAAAAACAAAGTAAATTTCCTATTTGCGAGTTGCATGTAAATAAGAAACATGGTATACATCAAACACTTTTAAAAGTAGTTGACCATCGATTGTAACCATTGATGACTGTCGTTGCATATGTAGGAAAGACTTAACAAACCATAACTGAAAAAATTTCCAAAACTCTCATGGTCAACATAAAAGACAGTCAAACTATTCGATTGACAGCCATTATTGTCAAATGACGTAAAAAAAAAATGACTTCATAAAAAATGTTTACATAATTTAAACATGGGTAGCCGCTTGTAGCACAGAATGTTCCGAACATGGTCTTTAGAAAATTACAGTTTAGAAAGTTTTTTTTTCCAAATTAATGTGTTTTCTTCTTGGTGTGATAAAACGATCTGAAATAAGAATATAATTTAAGCATATGAGACAGTCATAGTAAAATGAGACAATTGGAATTTTTTTTGAAGAACAATGACTAGAAAAACTATAAAAAACTAAAGCTTTTGATTGCCAAATGAAGCTAAAAAACTCCAAAAACTAGTTTTACTTGTTAAAAAAATTTTAAGGTATTAAATTAGGCATAATTCAGCTGTTGTAAACTTGCTGGCTTGCTTTATTTGCTCGAATTAAGACGAAAAATCAAAAATTTCAAACCGGTTTTTCTCGACATTGGGAAAACTTTTTAAAATTTTTTTGGTGTCGTTCGAATCACGACTGAAAGTGCTTTAATATAATATATCACTCAACTCAGTCCAATGATTTTTTTGGGGTAGCTGATTTGGCGTGGAAAACAAAACGAAAAAAATCTAAACACGACTGATAACAAAATTCCTCCCCATTTTTCAAATGGCCGGGAAAAAATCCCCCCCCCCCCCCTAATAGACCAAGTTAAGATCCTCCACCCCAGCGCTTAATTTAAATTAAATTTGCTAAGCGCTGCATGTAAAATGCTCGAATCTGATTGGCTGAAAACTCCCAACTTAGAACCAAGTTAACATCCTCCCCCCCCCCCCCCC